TTTGACTAAGATCTAAACCGTTCTGCAATGTTCAGGTTGGAAAAGACTTCCGTTCATTCATTAGACCAGCGCTTCTCAACCTTGGCAACTTTAAGATGTGTGGACATGCTGGCTGGGGAATTCTGGGAGTTGAAGTCCACGCATCTTAAAGTTGCCAAGGTTGAGAAGCGCTGGTCTAATGAATGAACGGAAGTCTTTTCCAACCTGAACATTGCAGAACGGTTTAGATCTTAGTCAAAACTGCATGTTGCTCTTTTCAAGCTCATCGCTCAATTCCAACGTTACTAATAAACTTTCTGGAGAAAACAACTTTTGCCGCCCTGAAGTTCCTGAGTGTTTTTCCACCAGATCACTGTAACGTTCTTCAAAATCTTCAACTACTGAGTTATTTTATAGATAGAAAAAACTGGTTTACTTCGCTCTGCCGCCCTTCCCGCCGCCCCCCACCCAAGCAATACGCGCTGTTGACTTCCGATCAGGCGTGGGGGGGGGGGGGGGATGGCATAATTTATTTGAATGCAAACGCGCTAACCCAAGGGGAGGGGCTTATCTATGAATCTCGTTATTGTTGCTCTTGATTATTTTTTTGGATGGGGGGAGAAGGAGAGTAGAGAGAAGGCTGATTTCAAAGGTTTGAATAGCTGTCAGTCATGCAAGCCCACACGCTGGTTCCTTCCAGTGCCAAACAATATTCCACACACACACACACGGCTGTTGCTACTTCGTTTCTTGGGAGGGTTTTGTTGTGTTTGGTGTTTTGTTTTTGTTTGGCAATCCCCGTGCCTGCCTTAAATAGCATTAAGGCTCAGGTCTTGGGAGACAGCTGGATCTCACTTTGCTTGCGGATTATACGTGTGCGTCCACGCACTTACGTATATGTGTGTGGAAGTACACACACACACACTTTTTAAATTACTTTTCTGCCCTTTAAAAAAAAAAAATTACCGCAACTCGAGTGAAGAGCTGACGAATAGCGCCAAAGGACTTGGGAGTTTCTTTGAAGATCGCTTTTTAAAGGGACTTGCCAAGTCAAACCAGAAGAGTCACATGAGAGAGACCCTGTCTTTTCCCTCGAGCAGCCCGGCTCTTCCGCTTGATCTGCGCTGGACTAAAGGATGTGCCGGGGCCCTCCCTGAATGATAAAACGCGCGCACGCCTTCACGCGCGCGCACCTCCCCACACCGCAAGCGAGGCGTCCGAAGAGAGGGCGTCCCGCAACAATGCTGTAGTGTTTGGACTGTGCAACGCCACGGTCCCTGCAAACACCCCAAGCGCGCGCGCGCGCGCCCGGCAAAAGCGACGGGCCCTTCCGCCGCTTCGTCTCACCGCGCTGGAGTCCGGCGACCATTTGACTTTCTAATGAGCGTAATGAGATTACATGCCTCCTGGAAGCGTTTGTGCCAAGCAGCCTTTCTGTGTTTAATGAGGTCCTAATACCGGACCGTCGAATTGTAGCTGGGCTCTTCAACCCTCCGCTTTCCCCTCCCGCTTTCTCTTCGCGGCTCCGGACAATTTAATTACATTGCCGGTGGATTTCCCCTGCCCCTTTGCCTGGGGGAGAGGAGCGGGCGGGGGTGGCCCTCCTCCTCTGCCCGCCGCCCGAGGTTCCCAGTGGAGGGCGAGGGAAACGAAGTCTGGCTAATTGCCCTTGGAAGGGACGGTGCCAGACGGGAGACTTGGGCCCGTTTGCCAGCCTATCTAGGTTAATGCAATTAGCCTGCCCGAGCGGGCGAGGCGTTCCTGTTGCTTCCCGAAAGTGCCGGCGTAGCGAGGGGTCATTAGCCGTTTGAGGGCTCCGAGGACAGACCGCGGTTCCCATCCGCCTCACTCTCCCCTCCCCCGGTCGCAGCAGCGCGAACTGCGCCGGATCAGGCACACCAGACCTGGATTGGGCAGCTGGGCTCCCCCTGCCGGTCCCGGGCGTCTAACAGGGGAAAACCCGCCCCTGCGGCCTTGGCCAGCCGCGGGAGCAGAAGCGACTGGAGCAGCCCCAGGGCAGCCAGAAGTCCCCACCGCCTCCGCGGTCCTCGCGGCGGGGTGTGGGGCTGGCTCCAGCGACACACCTCCGACCCCGGTGAACCCCGCTGTGCAGCGGCTCAGTTCAGCCTCCTGGCTAGATCGATCCCTTTGGCAAGCCAGGATTTCACTCAGCGCAGGGTCCTGGTCTCAGACGCGGATGCCCCGTTTTCGTGGGGTGGGGGGTGGGGGTCACAACAGGGCCTCATCCTGTGCCCCCGAGGAGTTACTCCTCGGACTGTATCTCTCCATTCCAGGATTACTTTCCAGAAGAGCTGCCCTCCTACAATTCCCCCATACATCACACTACATGCAAGCACTATGGTGGAGTTTGGGGTGGGAAACATTGCAGATAAGTTAGGACTACCTGTACTGGAAAAATGTTTTTGTATGTTGTTAAATTTTTCCTGTGCCTTTAGGACAGCCGCTCATCTCACTAACAATGTTCTAAGGTAGACTGCCTTTGCAACTAATTTATACACTGGTAACTGAAGCTTGCAGTGAATTGAACAAACAGCTGTCTGGTGCACTTATTACCCAGTAAGGCTGAGTCTGGTCCCAGGGAGTCAGGCCCCAGCAGTACAGCAGCCAGTTTTCCACTTGCTTCTGAAAGTCTTGGCGGTGTGATTGTTGTGGTTGCTGCTGCTGTTTGCAATTAAATACACTTTTAGAAATAGGAGTAACCTTATTTTTACCTGTCTGGTTCATAAAACCTTAATGAACAGAGACTTTTGAAGCCTGTCTTATGAAATTCTTAGAAAAGCATGGCATTTCTCTCTCCTCCTTCCCACGAACACATGTGGATATACAGAATCATCTCTAATGCAATAACAAAACTAACTCTTAAAAAACAATAAATTCATAGACTGTAAAGATTAAAAGGGACCATAGATATCATATTGTCCAAAATAAATAAGTGGAAACCCTAGATAATAAAAAAGGACACATTCTCATCAGATTTGTCACAGGAGAAATAGTGCTGGCACCACTCTGCAGATTTGACTTCTTCACAGCCTCATGTACTTTTGGAGAAACCTCTAGTTCCCGGTTACCTACCCCTTTAAAGCATGGGATGTAAATATCACATGCTTCTGAGAGATAATTGCAGAAAACTTAAAGATAACCAAGTTGATGTAGCTTAATCTTTTGCTACCTGCTAGAAATCCATAAATAGGCAATCCTCAACACATAGCTTTCCAATGTCTGCCTGAAGTCATTCAGTGAGGGTGAGTTCACCCCTCTTCTAATAAACTTGTTGCATTATCACACCATAGTGCTTATCTTTGGTCTTCTTCCAAGTATTAACCAAGACAGATCCTGCTCAGCTTCTGAGCTCAGACAAATGCTAGATATTGATAAGAGGTCCATGAGATAGTTCTCATCCTAAGCGTCCAGTGAATTTACAAATCCATTAGAAATGACGGCTAAGCAACATTAATGAAAATAGTAAAATGGATTGCCACAATAAGGAAACAAACTTTCTCACACAGAGAAATATCCTTGTAGTGAACCAGTGAACCTGGATTGCAGCCTCGTCCACTGAGAGGTCACCCAACTTTCTCCCACCCGTAACTTCTTTTTGAAGTCAAAAACTTATTGGAACACATAAAGCCATTATTTCAATGTAGTTGCCAGCTTTTAAAACACTTCCCAATCCTGCAACTTTAAATCAAATGAAACTACAGGATCTTCTCAGGTAAGAATTTCCAAGGAAAGTTACAATCCTGAAAAGCAGTCCAGTCTCTCCCCAGCCAGCTGCTTCATGGATATGTGATTAAAAGTTCCATATTTCCCAGTTAACTTAACTGGGGATTCTAGGAACTATAATCCCAGTGTATCTGGAAGGTACTGGGCTCCTCCATTCAGTAATACAGGATTAAGATTTTGCAGCACAGAACCAATAAGAGGAATGGTCTTTAAATAACAGACTTATTAAACACACAGTTATAAGTTCATAGCTGAATCCTGCATCAAGACATCTTCTCCTGGATTTGTAGAAGCCTCCAATATTTTATGAACAATTTAATCGAATTTAAAGTTCTACTTGAGAACAGATCCTCCTCCAAATAAATTCATTTTAATCAAAATTTATTAATATTTAATATAATTAGCATATTCAACAAGTGATAATAAATTATGTTCACATTTCCTGGGAAGCATTTTCTTTTCTAACAAATAATTTTTGCCAAAAGGTGCTGGTGGATGAATCTAAAAGTATTGCATATTTTAAAATTAGGATAAATTATATAAGTTATACATTCAGAAAAGGATAGTTCCATTCCCCCAGCTGTAAATAATAAATAGATAAATAAAAAGTTGATTGCCATTAGAATACTTTTTTTGTATTGTAAAGTACCTGTGAAAATATGTATTTTAAGTAAAACTGTTCCAATAAAAGATGTATATGTAGCTCAGGTTTGAACTGTGGAGTTCTTGGATTTTAGCTGTTCACTTGCAGTTGTTTCATCACCCAACTAGGTTCACACTGATGATGTTACCTAGTTGGATAATGAAATGCCTGCAAGCAAACAACTAAGCTTAGAGAGCACCAAGAACTCCACAAGTAAAGCTGCATATGGCAAAAAGATTGACATTGATAGTCTAATAATGTTCTCATGTTATGATATGAAATCAAATGGGGGCTCATTTTCAATGTTGTTTACAGATGATTTGCTGTTTAACTTCCTAGGGTCTTCAGGAGTCCAGACTTTAGCAGTTCTAATAATGTTTTGTTCCTTGAGTTGTTTTTCATCAGTCCAAGAGAGTGAATGCCCAGCGAGAGGAGGAAGTCCATAATCTGGGTCACTTGGAGAAGGTGATCCTGGGAGGAAGAGAAACAAAGGAAGGGGGGAAAGAAACAGACTGAATATTCTCACCATACCCAGAGAGGAATAAGCACTCATAACCAAGACATCCCATTTTCTGTCACACCTGTTACAGCTCAGGGGAGTAGCAGGTACTCAACTGACTGTGGCATCTGAGTAGCGTTAAGCTCACTCCCCACTTCATCTAGCTGTTGGATAATCTATCAATTTTTGTAAGGAATTTAATATCTGCATTATCCCAGCATGACATTTGGGCAAAAGCAGCCTCTCCCCATAGCCAAAGAATAGCATTCTTTCCTGGCTGCCCTTCAGATGTGTTGGACTTTAACCTCTATTGCAGCCACCCTGCCTGGAAATTTGGGGAACCAAAATCTGGAAGGCACCAGGTTGGAGTAAGTAGAGGTAGCACAATAGTGACCTTTTCCCAACGGGTGAGGGCTTCTGCAGAGGCTATCTAGGGAGCATCCTAATTTGAACCCCAATTTCTTTTAACTGCATGCGGACCTTAATGTAAAGTATGGTGTATTGCTGGGCCTCAAGAACGATCTTCTGACAGTGCTGCAGCGATTTGGTTGTGAAGAATCTACAGACCCACGGATGAATACTGTACTTGGCATCTTAGAATTTAAACTGCACCTCGAATGAGTCTACCCTCTTAGTGTTTACCCCCGTGTAAGGATCGCTTTGGGGTCGGTGCAAGGATACTTCACTTGCCAGGAAACTGGAGGGTGAGAGTTTCAGTGTCCGCTCGTGCGTATCCGCGTAG